GAAATAACGGGCAGTTTTTAGTAAATAAAATCAAAACAGGGGAAATAGTAAAACAAAAACTGTCAAAAAAAATTCATAAAAAAAGTTAATGCATTATTGAAATAGTACTTAATACAAGATTGGCGAACTACATTGATGGTTCAGTTTCATATGAAATTTAAAATTGAGAGCAACATTTTTCGACACAAATTCTTAATTTTTTGGTATCCGAATCACGATTTAAAACTATTTAATACGATTCCACACTTGAATTCTTCCGTACTTTCTCTAAGGTTGCCAAAGTTGTCTAAAGAATCCACCCTAAGCTCGAGTTCCTTCCAGTCATTTCGCGATGTGGTCAAAAAAGCTTAAACTTAAATGCGCACCAAATTTGATGATTCCTGTTTAAGACTATTAATTGTTTCGAGAGTGCTTACAACGGATTTCGAAAGTATTCAAAAAAATCCTGAAAGTAAAAATGATTCTAGACAAAATTTGCTTTAAATTGTTTGCTCAATATTTTTATTTATTCATAAAGTTAGTTCTTGCTTATTAATAAATTCAAATTTCACCATTTTATTTTGCACATTTGACAGAGAAAACGTCCACTATCTGGGACAACAAAGGTCCAGGCGTTGAAACCGGAAAAACTTTCCTCTATTTTTACAACTGTTAAAACAATTGCTGGCCCATTGGTTTTCTCTATAATTGAAAATCTTTTTGATGCATTCGTGCAGATAATCGAGTGTCAAGGTTTTTTCTGAAACAAAACTTGAATTATATTGTTCTTTTTTAGAGTGTTTCTTTTACGCCTTAACGGCATCTATTTTTGTATCACAAGTGATGCAAAGCTCAGCGTATCCTGTGTGATTATTTCGTTTTTGGATTTTAGATTTTGTTGCTGCTCGGATTTCAAATTGTTTTCGCCTCTGCTGAAGTACGGAATTAGATTTTGATTTAGTGTGTTTTTAAACAGTTAGGTTATTTTTTTTTTCTAATTTTTTTGCTGTTCTTGGTTTTTTCCCTGTATAGGTGCATTGCAAGCGGCGAGAACGGAGCCGTGCTTTGCCTCTGTGTTAATTGCAACGTTTTCTAGCAGTCTGTTTCTATGATTAGATTGACAATGCTTCTTCCTAGTCCTCGGCACGGTGACCAAATCGGTCCCGTTTGGGGGACTAGTCCCTTTTAGCACCCTCTGCGCTCAGTGGTCACCGTTTCCAATTTTTCATTTCAATGAAAAAATGATAAGCCAGCGACTTCCCGTGGCCACTAAGATTTCATTGCAATATTTCGAGTCGTTCTGTTTTTTCAAAATTATTTTTTAAAACCAATACAAGACTGCTCGTATCAGGGCGAAGCCGTGAATGTTCCGACTGCCTTTTAAGGTTTATGGAGCAGTAGTAACATAAATATCATTAACATTTAAATGTAAAAAAAATAAATTGACAAAATTTTTTCTGTGAAAATCACCACCCCCCCCCCCCACACGCCATATAAAGTACAAAAGAAGAGATTTCGCTCCTTGTATTAAATCAATAATGGCAAATAAGCTTCCGGCTCTTTTCCAGTTCCCCCCACCTTTCAAATGCATTTTTGAAAAACTTATTTAAGGTTGTCATAATGCATTTAACCGTAATAACACTTAAAACAAACATAAATATCGATATTTTGAAAGGTGGGGGGGGGGGGGGGGAGTGGAAAAGAGCCAAGCTTCCTTGAACCAAATAAGACGGATTAAATCTCCGCTTACGCGTTAATAGCGCGAAATATATCCCGCGTTAATTGTCCCAAATTGGCCCAAATGGCAATCTTTAAACCCCCATAACTTTACGAAAAATGATCACAGGTGAAATATCTTTTCAAATTTAAGCTCAGGACACCAATACCTTTTGAATGATGTTAAAAAAATTCCGTCAAAAATGGCTAGTTAGAAAAACGAAAATTGTTTGAAGAAAAAACCCATCCCGAGCACAAATATTCCGTTACTTCTGTATCGAAAGTCGGAACAATAATCTTTGGGTCTCAATTGTTTTTCCGACAAACTGTTTTTTTTTTCGGCTCGAATTTCTTGTTCTTTTTTGTAATAATGTGGGAGGGCCCATTTGCCACCAGCGTATTTGGTCACCCTTGTCAACGGAAGAGCTTGTACGCAAAGGAAAAAATAACTAAATAAAAAAATTAAAGGTATTTTAAAAGGGCATAAGTACTTCAGGAAAGTATGCTACCGAATTTCTGTTGTAAGTAGTTGTAGTCGTAGAGTTTCCCTCGTACACCACTCTGGCTGCTGGAGGAGGAATTGACTGATGCAACTGACTAGTCTGGTAGTTTGCAGGCATCGACATCGACACATGTCTGGTCGGGATCCCAGCTGGCGCAGAGGGAACAGGTCTGTACTCGTGAACTTGTTGGTAGCCAGCGTGTCCAGGGTATTCGAAGTCCTTAACTACTCTTACCTGTTGTTGTTTTTGTTGTTGTTCTTGCTGTGCTTCGAGTTGACCTGCTGCCATTACAACTTGGACATTTTCACCCATCTGCGTGACAAATGCCTGCGGTTGTGGGTTGACTATTTGGCTTTGATGCTGCTGGTTGAGTTGTTCATTTGTGATTGGTTCTACGTGGACTAGGTTTGCTGCAGTTGTCTCAGATTGTCTTCGGTATTCTGCTCTGTCTAGCTCGTCTACTGAAAAAGCTTGATTTGAATAACCATGAGTTTATGCAAGGCTTGCTGCTGATTTATTTTTTGTTTAAGCGAAGCGTACTATTGAACTACGAGGTCAGATTTCAGATGCACTTTTCACTCTCCCTCTGTTGACGTAAACCTAAATAAAGCGTGGTTTGTTTTGGGGCTGAGGTCTGTTTTGTGTGGGGGTTCCACCCTTCAGCTCCCATAGCCTCCCCTCCACTACTCTTCATGAATATTTTCTATACCGGAAAATAACATGCTGACCTTGCAATTAACCAAACCAATCTGTTATATCGTACCATTTCCTGGCACTCCGCCTGGGTAGCATCCTGTCAGTGACCCCTGCCTATGCTTCACACCACTAGAATGCGACGTTTGCCTCTGATTATTAGTATTAGTTGGTGGAACTGCTGCTGCTGTTAAAGTAGGTTGCACATTAAAGTCGTGGTTGGGATGGGGGAATGGCTCCGCCTCACAGCAACAAATGCAGTCCACGTCTTTCCTAGGCTGAGCTGTGTCCATGTTCGAAGGTCTCCCTAGAAGCGACAACTACATGTGAACGAATCTTATTTCAGGTACAAGGATGAATTTCGCTACCAAATTTGTTCCGATTATAGCGAGCAATGAAGGCTGTAAACGGAAGCAATCACAAATTCTGTGCATCATTTACGCTGTCTAAGTTCGATTTTTTTTTCACTAAATTAGTGTATTCACACCATCTTTTGGGTTGAACGGTGCTGTAATTCTTGGCCGACGCTATAATTTTGGAAGTGCTGTTTTTCTATGACTTTTTCAATCATTTCAAATGTCGTATCAAATGTGGGCTCTTTTCCAGTTTCCCACCCCCTTGGCAAACTTCAAAACAAAGATGTTCAAAAATTGTTCACAAGGCAATTTGCATGTTAGAAATGCAGAAATTTGTTCTCCCGTTCACGCTGACACTTTTTATTGCAGTTTCTAACATGAAAAGTCATTTTCATATAATTAATTTCAGAAAAATTCAAAGGGGGTACTGGAAAAGAGCCCATATGTGTATGTTCAACGGAATATTGTTGGGACGTTCAGTAGACCTGCTGGTGGTGGGCCAGTGTGCAAGCTAGACGTTGACCTCGACCTCTTCACCTCGTACTGCTCCTCCCCTCCCCTTTCCCCAATCAGCCCCCCGGCATCTCCACCTTCAGCGTCCAGCAGCATCCCCAGTTGTCCCCTGGCGCCCTTCTCTCGTCTGCCGCTCCTGTGGGTGGTGCCGCTCTGGCGACTGCTCTTCTGGGATGACCTCTGACTGGTAGCTCTCCTCACTATGTCCCCGTAGTCCCGGAACTCCATCTGGTACGTGGTCTTGAAGTGCTCCCCCGCCACCCGCTTCTGCTTCTCCTGCATCAAATAATCCATCAGTTGTCAGTTAATTGCTATACGAGTTATTAATAAATACCAGTTAATAAAAGTAAAACTGAGGTTATGGGTCATACATCTGGGCAAAGAAACCGTCACTTGTTTTAAGCGAGAAACCACTGTGATCCAGGCAAGATCACTCGGAAGGTTCATATTTACTTCGCTCTTATTGTAGAATCTGTAGGTTCCATTTCTGTGCATTCTTTTGTTCTTTTCCAACCAGTCTTGAGCATCGAAATTTCCGAGTCTGTTCAGATGCTTCTGCAGTTTGTTCACATTCACGGACACCTTCCCATGTCTCCCCCCGTGTCTACTTCTGTCGCCCGCAGCATCCTGCTGCCCCGAAAAATTGCTGCGATCCCGGGAGAAGCATCCCGCGCACTCGCATCCACTGCAGGCGTCAGTAGTGCCTATGGGTCGTTTCCTTATGTTGCAATTGTGAAATTTTTTGTACGTTTTTCTACGGTTTTCAAATTTTATTCTAATTACATTTTATTATCTTAAAATACGTTCCACAGTGGGGGGAGGGGGTTGACTGTAAATTTTGCAAGTTAAGGAAAACACCCGTTCCTGTGAGCTCGTCTTCGTCGCGCCATGTGTAGTGGTGACATCTGCCATAGTCTCCGCCGCCGGCAGCCGAAGTGGACTCGTTCTCACTCCGCTCGTACACGATCACATTATCGCCATTGTTTGTGTCGAATCTCAGAGTTTGTTTCCCATTATCCATGGACATAACTATGGTACTCTAACTTAAAAAACTAGATTAAGTACTGTTTGGATTAAGTAATATTGTAATTATTCTCTAAGGCCGTGAGTTGCCCATTATAATTTTGCAATTCAAAGTTAAAAAGAAAGTAACACGTGCCAAAAATATGCACAATTTTTAGACTCTATCCATTATTTTTTGTTTGTGTCTGTGTTTGTGTTATGAAAAATTGTTGTTTTTTAGATATAGTGATGAATGTTGGTGACATTCTGCACTTCAAGCCCCCCGAAGTGAAGAGGGACTTGGAGGGGGATGGGGAAGAAGGGACTGCGGCTACAGGTGGGATGCCAGCTGCGAAAGTGAGGAAGAAGTTGCAGGAGATAGAGAGGAGTAGGAAGGAACTGCCCTTCGAACAACTCACTGACCAGGAGAAACTGAAGATGCTCCAGGCTGCTGAATCAGAACTGCCAATGGCCAACATATTAGGTAGGTAGTAGTATCATAGGCTCTACCATTTGTGCCCATCATTGGGTCTTACAATGCAGATCTTCAGTTCACGTCGAAAGGAGTCAAAGGGCCTCCTCAGATTTGTGCTCCATCACACGTTCATGCTATTTTCAAAAAAGTTCGTTCCTTCCTTCCCCAACTTTCAAAAGAATGGTTAAAAGAATGATTTCACAAGGAAAAACATGAAGACCACTTACGTTTTAAATAGCCTAATCATTCATCATGCCATTGTTCATGGCAATCGGACAGGGTAAACAAAATTAAATTTTTACAAGGATAGCCGGTTGCTGTGCAAGAGAATGTTCTGACCACATTCGTCAGAAACGACAAAAAACCTTATTCGTAACAAACGTAGCGTGATGAAAGAACTATGCAAACGCGTAGAAAATTAGTGAATTAGGCATAATCGACAACAGTTGTCTTCAAAAAATGAACTGAAAAAATGAAGAAAAAAACATTCAAATCAAAATAAATCGCAAGGCGCTGCATGTAGAATGCTCAGTTGCGATTGGCTGAAAATTCCAAATTAAAACCCCGTTAACTCCCCCCCCCCCCCGTACAACTGCTTTGAGGGGGGGGGGGTCTTTAGGAGGATGTTAACTTGGTCCATGAATTTTTTGTCATAACCTCTTAGAATATGCTTAGTACCAATTCCGAGTAGAGCTGAAAATAATAGATCAGCCCTTAGTCAGGGTTGGTCAACTCTTCTGAATGATCCCTGGTACGGCATTCTAGATCTGATTAATAAAGATATCAGAGTAGGAATTAACAAAAAGGAAAGTAGTTTCAGTGGATGATTGAAAAATTACAGTTACTTATAAATTACCCAAGAAAATTTTTAATCACTCATCTCAAATTTGTTGAAAAGATAGCTAGTTGCTGTGCAATTAGCACAGAGTTTCCGACCATTTTGTGTAATAATCCTGCTCGCTAGTTTTATTCGCTTGAAATTGGACTGAAACTCAAAATTTTTTTCCAGTTTTTCTCGACACTGGGACAACTATTTGAAATTTTCTCACGGCTGAAAGGGATTTTATATGATATATCACTCCAACCAATCCGATGGTTTTTTAGTACCTGATTTTGAGTAGAAAACAACAAAAAAAAACAAAAACACCCGAACACAAAGCTCCTCCCCATTTTCAATGGTCGGAACAAAAGAAGAAAAACAAAAAAAAAACGAATACAAAATTCCTCCCGGTTTTCAATTGTTGGAACAAAAATGAGCTAATGAGTAACATCAGAGAAAACTTTCAAGAGAAATGAAACGTTTTAAGAATTAACTTTTCCTTGAGACCCTCTAAGGAATGGAAAGAAGTATGGACTAAGTATGGAGTTGTTTTTTCGCCATTTCAGATCTCACTTAGAAATCGGAGGTAGATCAGTTCTGGTTATCTTTTTGAAGTCATTTCAGCAGTGTTTTGAATTCTATTATATAGAAAGGCTGGTCTGCATTTTAAACCTTTAGCCTCAATTTATCGACTTCTAGGGTTTTATCTATGAGTTTTGGGGAGAGAGGGGGTGGGGGTTCATCAATTATTTTCAAATTTTTGGTTTTAATTTAGTCAAGCATGTGAAACAAAAATGTGGGGAGGAGAATCGTTGATTTTACAGACAAGTAATGGAATGTGTCGTATAAGGAGGCAAATTTTTCCCAGGGTGCAATAACTTCGCCTGTATACCTATTTAGTCAGTATCTCTCCCTTTCGAAAATGTTGTGCGGTTTTTAATTAGACGATAGAGTACACGAATAGGAAAAAATCATTGAAATAAAATCATAGAAATTGGTCCAAGTTGTTCTTTTTGTTGAGCAGGTGACGAAGTGGAACAGGTGGCAGCAGTGGACATAGCTTCAATGAAGAGGACAATTCAGTCATTCCAGAAGAAGGTCAACAGGAACCAGGAAGCACGCATCAAATTCCCAGACAACCCTGAAAAGTAAGGCAAAATCTTTCGTTAAGTATGAGATACGTTTCAGGAAATATCGAAACTAAAACTGGTCAGTAAATATCGAATGTTAAACTAAACAACAAATATAATTAGCGATTATCGAGAGACTAAATTATTGCTCAAAATCATCCAGCTGTTGATTTTTTATCAACATTAAGTCTTTTTCATCCACATTTATTGCTGTTAAGTGTACATTCGTGTTTACAGGTAAATAAAATAAAATAGTTAATTGCGTTGAGTTCTTCATGATGAACAGTATGATTTGTTTCAGGTTCATGCAGACAGAATTGGATCTGCATGATGAGATAGTTGAAATGAGAGCAATTGCCACCCAGCCTGAGATATATCCTCTTTTGCTCTCGTCCGAGACAGGCGCGCTCAAAACAATATTGACTCTCATCAACCACGAAAACACAGGTGCTGAAAAGTTGTTTTTCCTTTTTCTTCTCTTAGGATCTAGTATTAGCCGACGGAACAAAGAAAAGAAGGCTGAACCAAATTAATCAGAGCCGATAATATTGCGCGCAGGCAACACGTGGCAATGGGAACAACCCTTACCCCCCTAATATTTTTAGGACAGTCTATATAGCCGCATAAATCAATGTAAGGTCTAACTAATTTTGCACTTCGTTTTAAAATAAACTCATCTTTGGTGAACTTGGTGAACAGATCGACTTACTTGTTTTATGAACCGCATTTTTGGCTGATCATGTTTTTTTGAAGGTTCCTTGGTGCGAATTAAAAAAGTTAAAAAGTGAATAAAAACATGAATTGGATCGAACTGTTTTTTTTCTCTCGCAGAGATGTGAAATATACTATGCGGGGTGACAATGAGATCCCCTTATTGGGGTCCCGTAGGAAGCTGGGGTTTTTGACTGAATCCCTAATGTGTGACTGCATGTGGTGTTGTATTCAGATGTGAGTGTGGCAGTGATTGAGTTGCTGCAGGAGTTGAGTGACGTGGACACTCTCAATGAGTCAGCAGAGGGAGCTCACTTGCTAGTTGAAGAACTGAATGAGTTGAGGGTGGTGAGTGTGCTTGTGCAGAACATGGACAGACTGGATGAAGTGAACAACAAGGAGGCTAGTTAATTGGGTAACGCGACAACTCGCAACAAGATAAAATCGCGAAAATTAAGGAAAGCGACAATTCGTACCTTGAAAATGATTTAGGAGTCGGTGTTAGTAGTTCAGACTCCATTATAGGTCGTGATGATATTTTAAGTTGCCGTTTTTTTTTTCAGGAAAAGTCTTAAAATTTGTTCAACTTTTTCTAAATTCAGTTCATTTCCTTTGTTAAAAGCAAGGCAAACTGCAAGGCCTACTATCGAATAGGAAAAAAGCAAAGGTCACGAAAAACGTGATTGACGCCTATTTTGAAAATGGAATTCGTTTTTCAGATTTAAGGCCATCTAATTTTGTTCTTCGAAGTTCGAAAATGAGATTTTTTAAAAACAAAACTAGACAGTATTTTTTTTCTGTTTACTTGCTTTCATTGACTCTTTTCCAACTTTCTGTTGACTATGTTTTACATTGGTATGTTTTACATTGGCAAGTAGCGACTACTTGCTCCGTGCGCTTAGGTTCCAGATTTGTGATTTTTTATCTAGATTGAAGTAAAGAAGGTTGTTGTTCACGAATAATTATTGGAATGTGTATGGGTCGAATGATATATCATATTAAAGCACTCTCAGTCGTCATTTGAACGAATATTTAAAAAAAAATTATTTCTGTGTCGAGAAAAACGGTTTTGAATTTTTTGAGATTTAGTCTATTTTCGAGCGAATAATGCGATCGAGTAACGCTCGTTATATGGAAATTTATTTTTTAAAGACTAAGATAAACAAAACTGCTCGTATCAGGGCGAAGCCCTGAATTTTCCGACTGCCGTTAAGGTCTATGGAGCAATAATAACATGAAAAAATTAAATGTGATAAATAAATAATTTTTTTTTAATTTGAGATTTTTTGTGAAATTCATCCCCCCACACGCCATATTAAGCACAAAGTGATAGATTTCGCTCCTAGTAACAAATCAATTATGGCAAATAAGCTTCCTTCAAACACTTTGGAACGATTTCTAAGACGGGTTAAATCTCCGCTTACGCGTTAATAGCGCGAAATATAAAGCCCATTAATTGTCCCAAATTGGCCAAAATGGTCATCTTTAAACCCCCATAACTTTACGAAAAATGATCACAGGTGAAATATCTTTTCAAATTTAAGCTCAGGACACCAATACCTTTTGAATGATGTTAAAAAAATTCCGTCAAAAATGGCTAGTTAGAAAAACGAAAATTGTTTGAAGAAAAAACCCATCCCGAGCACAAATATTCCGTTACTTCTGTATCGAAAGTCGGAACAATAATCTTTGGGTCTCAATTGTTTTTCCGACAAACTGTTTTTTTTTTCGGCTCGAATTTCTTGTTCTTTTTTGTAATAATGTGGGAGGGCCCATTTGCCACCAGCGTATTTGGTCACCCTTGTCAACGGAAGAGCTTGTACGCAAAGGAAAAAATAACTAAATAAAAAAATTAAAGGTATTTTAAAAGGGCATAAGTACTTCAGGAAAGTATGCTACCGAATTTCTGTTGTAAGTAGTTGTAGTCGTAGAGTTTCCCTCGTACACCACTCTGGCTGCTGGAGGAGGAATTGACTGATGCAACTGACTAGTCTGGTAGTTTGCAGGCATCGACATCGACACATGTCTGGTCGGGATCCCAGCTGGCGCAGAGGGAACAGGTCTGTACTCGTGAACTTGTTGGTAGCCAGCGTGTCCAGGGTATTCGAAGTCCTTAACTACTCTTACCTGTTGTTGTTTTTGTTGTTGTTCTTGCTGTGCTTCGAGTTGACCTGCTGCCATTACAACTTGGATATTTTCACCCATCTGCGTGACAAATGCCTGCGGTTGTGGGTTGACTATTTGGCTTTGATGCTGCTGGTTGAGTTGTTCATTTGTGATTGGTTCTACGTGGACTAGGTTTGCTGCAGTTGTCTCAGATTGTCTTCGGTATTCTGCTCTGTCTAGCTCGTCTACTGAAAAAGCTTGATTTGAATAACCATGAGTTTATGCAAGGCTTGCTGCTGATTTATTTTTTGTTTAAGCGAAGCGTACTATTGAACTACGAGGTCAGATTTCAGATGCACTTTTCACTCTCCCTCTGTTGACGTAAACCTAAATAAAGCGTGGTTTGTTTTGGGGCTGAGGTCTGTTTTGTGTGGGGGTTCCACCCTTCAGCTCCCATAGCCTCCCCTCCACTACTCTTCATGAATATTTTCTATACCGGAAAATAACATGCTGACCTTGCAATTAACCAAACCAATCTGTTATATCGTACCATTTTGCAAGTTCAGTGTACATTTTATCATAATATTTATCAGTGTACATTTTTATACTGATAATCAAAGTAAATTTTTTAAGGAATGCACGGTTATTTATACACGAGAGACTGCCGATTGTTGGGCGATGGATCCAAACGACATCGCGATGTGTGTGATTGTGTAATTAATCTACAAGCAAAATTTCATGACAACCGGACCATATGAACAAAAGTTAACTATATTAAAAATCGCAGGTGGGGAAAAAGAAAATTAAAAATGACATGTGGGGCGAGACGGTAGAAGATCACCCAAGTCGACCAACATTGGCTTACAAACAAACAAACAAACAATCAGTGATGGGCGATATGCTAAAAGTTTTAATTCCACTATCGGTGTCGAAATAATAAGTATGAATGCTTTCAGGAGGCGCAGGCAGTCTTCAACTCACTCGGAGTAGTGGAGAACATTCTAGAATTCAAGCCAGATTTGTCGTTCGATGTATCCTCCAGCCAGAATCTACTGCCTTGGATCATCAAGCGCCTCAAGATGAAATCGGGAGGAGATATCTCAGTGAAAAGTTACGCTTCTGAGATACTTGCTATCTTGCTACAGAACAGTGACGACGTTAGTGACAAGCAACCTGGCGAAATAATAATTTGCGGTTATTTTTTCAACAAGAGAGTTTTAAATGTATAAGATGAAGCTTGTGCTATTTGCCATCTACAATTTTGATAGCAAGAGCAGCTAGTTGTATTTTCGTTGGTTCTTAGTATTTCGTAGTATTGCACGATCATTCTACTAAAATTTTTAAGCGATCACGCCTTAGATGCATGAAGTTAACGGTCGCTTCTTTTACTTGTCATTAAAATTGTATCAATTATCGAACTGATTGTTGATGTTGTCAGGTGAAACGGCAGCTGGGAGAGTGTGAGGGAATAGACACTCTGTTGCAGCAGCTTTCTCAGTTCAAGAGGAGGGATCCGAACTCCTCCGAGGACTCAGAGTTCATGGAGAACACGTTCGACGGTCTCTGTTCCGCCCTGCTCTGTTCGCCTCCCAACCCCAACAGACAGTACTTCCTAGAGGGAGAGGGTCTGCAATTGATGAACTTACTGCTAAGGTGACTCAAATACTCCTTACTTAGTGAAATTTCGCTAAAATTCAATAAGCCACTAAATGTATTAAAAAGGTTTAACTTTGTTTATAATATTCATTGATATTTTACAGAGAAAAGAAGAGGTCTCGTTTTGGTGCTCTAAAGGTGCTGAACTATGCTCTGACTGGGAGGGAGGGGGCTGACAACTGTCTCAAGTGGGTGGACATTCTGGGCTTGAGGACCATTTTCCCTCTCTTCATGCGACCTCCATCCATCACCAAGGGGTGTGGATACACAACAGAGCAGTGTGAAGGTACAGCCACACGACGTCGTATAGATATTCCTAACTAAGGTTGATTTTGCGAAGTTGCATATGGTGCTGGTTCAGGTCTCGTATTATTTCCAGCAAGGAATGTGATAAAGTGACCTTGAGATATCGAGAAGAAACCGAAGCAAACTGCAAACGCAAATATCAGGCTACTAATAGCTAATTAGCGTACTGTCTAAAGCAGCGAAACGAGAATAGACCCGATCGAATTTCAAATAAACTTTCATATTCTGTGTTGTGTTTAAGCTAATCAGTATTGTTGTCACCTGTGATTCGAGAAGTTTTTTGAAAGACCGCTCTTTATTGAAATATGACTTTCTCTATGAAATATTTCGTCAGTTGTGAATCTTGCTTAACAATTTTAGAGCACATTCTGTCCATAATCTATTGGCTCATGCGCAACATCCCATCTGTCAGTATCTCATCAGCAGCTCCTGCTGTCACCTCATCCGACGAGCCTTCTGCAGTTGCCCCCACCCAGCAGCCGGTGCAGCAGAGGGTGCGTCTGATGAACAAGTGGGTGGAGAGGGACATGGAGAAGGTGGACAGACTGATGGAGCTGCACTTCAAATACGCACAAAGAGTGAACAACTGCGACAGAAAGATAGACAGGCAGAGACGGGTTAGTACAGAGGCGGGGTGAGGTCACTACTGAGCTCTATAAGCAGTTGCAAAAGGTTCCCACAGAGAATAGAAAACAAGTCTGTTTATTATTTAGCTTTTTTTGAATGTTATCACTGATACCTCCTGATAACCCTCCTGTGAGACCCTCCGAACATCATTGAAGTAGCGAACATTGCCACGCCTTTCAGGCTAGCTTTAAAGAGCTTGGCCGTCTTAGAAGGAGTGATTCCAAGAAAGCGCTGTCAAGTGTTTCAACTTTTAAATGTTCCATGGGATGTAGGAGTTGGCGGAGGCTGGAGAGGAAGTGGACGAGGATGTGGAGGAGGAATTCTACTTGTTGAGACTGGACTCTGGCTTGTTCACTCTCCAACTAATCGACTGCATCATCTTACAGGCCTCCACCTACCACAAGAAGGTAACAATCCAGAGATCACGTCCAACTAATCCATGCAGATGAGAACGCATGGCACTATGTCCATTATTTAATGTGGGCAGGAAATCCATTTGAAACCATTGTTTTTTGATTCGCATTCAGAATTGAGTTATAACCTTGTAGTGTTGAGGTCTCGGAGAAAGTGCACACGAGTTTGAGGCTGCGTGGACACAACAAAGACACAGTTCGGGACGTCATTAGAGGTACTAATAGAAGGGGTTGGGCTTTCATCAAGTTGTATGAAAAAGGCTCAAATATCAAAGATTTTCGAAATTCGAAGAGCTGTAACGAAATTTCCTCTTTGAAAGTTATTCATTGCGAGTTTTATTGTTAATCTTGTTTTTTGTTGCCGGGGCTTGAATTTTTCAAATTGAATTTTATCAATGAGGAAGCTTGTGCAAACTTGGTTGTGCACCATAACTTGAACTGAAAACTGCAAAGAAGTTTCGGAGTGAAAAAAAATGACGGAATTAGTCGGGTAGTTTTTGAATTCAATTTTCTCCGATCCCTCTTCTGGTATATTTGCTTTGGTAGAAGAGGTTAAATTCATCGCTAATTTGAGGAAAATTACTTAGCTTGTGCTGTTGCTTTTTGCAGAGTATGCTTCCAGACTAGGAGACGAGAGAGGGGAGGAAGAGCGGGAGGAGGAACAGAAGAAGCTACTGGAACTCGTGGACGCATTCTGAACACTCAACCCCTCTGACATCTCAATATGTGGAATACTGTCCGGTCCAGATGATGCGTTAATACATTGTCAATTTGGCGACAGAAAGAATAGGGAGGAAACCATGGAAATAATAGCGAAAGAACAGCGAAACATTTTTGAAAACCGAATTCAATAGAATTAATTGTACGTTTTATCGTTTGCCGTGATATTTGTTGCTGAAGCTTGAATTGTTCAAATTGAGTCTTATCAATGAGGAAGCGCATGCAACGCTAATGCTGCACAAGTTTATTCAACGGTTTTTTATAAACAATAAATTAGCTATGCACGAGCATTTTGAACTATGTATGCTTCGTTTTCCAAAACATATCCAAACTAAAAAATTTGAAATAAATCGCCGCGGTTTAGGTGCTTAAATTTTTCAAATACTTTAGCAGGGACAACTTTTTTTACACAAGTGAAGCATAATGTAGTATTGCGAAGAGTTTTTTCTAACCTAAGTCGCAAATGAAAGTACTCATTTGGTGGCACTTTTGTATATTTCAATTTAATCATATTTAAGCATAGGTAGTTTCATAGCATATAGTGTTGCTTTATTTTTGATTAGTGTTAGGTCCTATTGAAAAAGAGATATTATGAAAATTTATGGGGTTTGTTGGTTTTTGTTTGCTACGCTTTGGAAAATTTTTGCACTTTTCGCCGAAATTTCAATTTTTCTCATTAACTACTGTACTGGTTGTTACACTAGCGTACAGCTTAGTATATCATTACAAATCTGATTTATTTTTAACCTGACTCGCTAATAAAAGTGTTCATTAAAAGTGTTTACTTATTTGGAAATTTTACTGTAGCATTTGAAATTGCATAGCATCTGTTCTCTGCTTTTTTTGTGACTAGTCTTTAACATTTATTGTGCTTTCGTGGCTAAGTGTTTAGTGCGTTAGACGCATAATCTCTATCTCGCAGGTTCGATTCTCAGACGTTGCCGAAGTTTTGCTTTTATTCGACGCTTATTTCTACTTTTTCTTTCTGCAATTAACAGAGCTGAGTTTTGCCCTGTTCTCGCTAGTGTTTGTGAAGCTTCGCATCCGCGTTAAAAGTAGTACCAATGTAGAAATCGGCTGCTCATTTATGTGCCTGCATATGTTACTAGTCTCTTTTTATGTTACCCCACGTTCTACGGCCTTCGAAAGTGTCAGTAGATGGGTTTTTGACCAATTTGTTTGAAATTTTTCATTTTCTCAAATTTTAAATGCACAAATCTTAGATGAGAGTTTCAATTAAAAAAATAACTTTGGAGATCTCCTCTTCACAAGCGGTGATTCCCCAAATTTAGTTAAAAAAGTTATGGCCTCAAACAAGCCCATTTTTTGACGTGTTGGTTAACTTTTAAATTTTTTCTCAAGAACTACCCTACCAACTTGGAAATTAAGTTTTAACCGAAAGCAAAAAAAAAAAACGAGTTATACGAATTTTTTCTGCGTAAGCGGCCATGCTCTGCGTTTTGAAAAAAAAAATTATGGCTCTTTAGAAATGACTAAATTTTGAGGTAATGCCTGTTTTTTGGAACTTTCATTTTGTTCCAAAACTAACCTGCTGATTAAGAGGTTGTTAGTTCATTTAAACTAACGTGGTGCTTAAATTTTTCCACGTTAATGTGTTTCACCCTATTTTCTGAAAAAAGCCGATATGGGAAAATCCACTTCGGGAAAATCTATTTTTGGATCTTCACGTTTTTCGGAAACTACCCAGCCAAGTCTTAGATAAAGAATGCAATTGAAAAATCGAGTGGTAGTTTTCTCCTTCAAATAAGCAGCTATTATTGTTGCGACTTGAAGCAACAATATTTACTGCATCGAATTCGCTGCATCCAATTGGTATGGCAGTTTATTTGCATCCTTACAACTTATTGATAACTTGTGTTTTGACATCCGAGTTTTCCAAATGTCGCGAAAATTCGGTTTAATTTTTTTTGTCTAATTTCGAGCGAGTTAAGCGAGGGAGCTAAGCAAGCGAGCACGCTTATTACACTTGCGAAGCAATGTGTTGTAGTACGAACTTTTTTCTGCAACAATATTTGCTGCGTCTTAAAGCAACAATATTTCCTGCGTTGAATTTGCAGCATCGAGTTGGCAATAAGATATTTTGATATTTTGTTGCACCTTTGATTTTTAGTTGCACCTTTACAGCTTATTGATTAAATGTACTCAGTTGATAAATTTACAAAGTTGATGCATTTTTAAATCATCAATTGAACCGAAAAAAGCTATTCGTTTCATACAACAACAATTAAGAAAATCACGATTTCAGAAATTTTCTAGCTCAAAATATCTCGCAATTTTTTGAAACGCATAATTTATACATAAAGTCGCTTTATGAATTGCAATTTAATTCATGCAAGTTTGTAACTTTTGTATTTGGTGTTACTTTTGTTGCATCAATTTGACAATTTAAGCATATCTAGCTGCTTTATTGGTGGCTAATTTTTGGGGATTTTAAGCATCCGTGGCTGAATGATTAGTGCGTGAGACTCTAATTTGCTAGGTCGCAGTGTTTTGCTAATTCAAGTTATTGTTTAGCCTCGAGTTTTTGCAAACGCGAAGCTTATTTCTACTGTTTCTTACGTCACTTGTTAGAGCTTTTTTTTGATTTCGTTCTCGCAAGTGTTTGCGAAGTGCAGCTTCACCTCTGTGTTCAGTTTGTTTTTTTGCCTGTTTAGAGCTCTTTTTGCATTTTACTCGCTTGTGTTAGCGAAGCACAGCTTTGCCTCTGTGGGTATGATTATTACACAAGCAAATGCATCGATTACTGTGGAAGAATGCTCGGGGAGAACATTGATGAATGTCCTCCCCGAGCATCCGTTAATTCTGAAAAAAGCATACATTTCCTTCTAACTCGCAAAAATTTTTCCTTTGATTTTTTTTATAATTGTTTTTTGATAGGCTACAAATTTAGTTCGGATAATTACATAGACAACAAACTTTTCTATTCTAACTTATGTTTTGGAAAAAGTCGTATCCCCCCAAAATGATTAAGGGGAAGATGGTACGGTTGATCCTGCAATTTTATGCCTTTGGTTGATATCACAACTAAATGCTGCTGTGGTTGACTCTTAATAACTACAGACAGTCAATGAACATTGAAGGCGCAAATTACTGTCAACAAAAAAACTTCTTTACGTTTTGGTTGTTTTTATCTGCTACTGTAACTCACAAATCTACTGAAGCTGAATCAATCAGCAAAATTTTGTTTTTAGGGTTTTCTTGTTTTTTCAATCACGGTTTTTTTGTTCTTCAATCACAGCTTAAAACCCCTCATACTCAGGACAAGAAATTTGATATTTTGGACTTGAAATTGTAAGTGTCAATGAACATAGTGAAAAAGTTCTCAATAGCGTCTTGTTTTTTTTCTCGTCTTTTTTTCTAGGAATTTGCGATGTTTTGCAGTATGACTATCAATGTTTTTAAATCAAATGCATTGCAAAAGGCACAGTAAACAACATTTTTGAAAATTGAACTTAATTTTAAGATTTTTCTTTGGGTAAGAAAAAACTAAAGATTCAGTACGCTCGAACTGTGTAAAATTTATGGAAAAAAGGTTTAATCTATGAACAAATGAAGATTCAGAGAGTTGTACCATGATGCATTTTATTTCTCCGAATCTCGAAATTAAAAATATGTTCATAAAAAGTTGATCTAATTTGTGGGTTTTTTCGAGTCCATTGGCACATTTCGAGCTGTCTAATTGTTGAAAGGCTAATGAACTGCGAAACCGACAGACAGTGCGAAAGCTAAGTGCGAAACCGACGGACAAAAAGTCGGAAACTTATATGACCTGGCTCCACAAAGGTTCGAACATCTAAAACTAAAAACGTTTTAATACCTTGGCTATCATACAAGAAAATTGAAAAACCAACATATCTACCTATCAGAAATTTGTGCATCGAAAGGAGCAGTCAAACTGAAACGTTACAAAAATAGCTTTTAGTTGATATATTTTAATCACCAGCGCAAAAAACTCCATATAACCTAGCAGTACTTTTTACGCCTTACCATGTAACTTGTTTTTTGCCCATGAACTTTTTAACAAAGCCCTTTAAGGCCAAAAATCAAAACCCTTGTGCTGCTTACGAGGTGTTTCCAGCTCTCAGAATTTTTTTTCGACAAGCACTAATTGAAAAACCAACAAACCTTGAGAAAACAATTTTTCCTTTTTTGATTCGACGGGATGCTTACACTTTGTTTTTCCATCAAATGTGAAATTTTCAACACTGCTTCTTGATTAATTGTTGGAAAAATTAAAAAAAATTTGCATTTGTTTTTTCGTTGAAATATTTTAACCTCTCTGCCCAGTGACTGCTTTTTTTCAATGCTTCTGGCAATCGTTTTTTTTTGAGTTTATTAATTGTTTTTGGACACTGTGACCAATTATTGGACGCGTCGGCTTGAATAGTAAATTGTGCAGCTTTAATTTACATTTTAGGACCTTGAAAATGCGTATGCGGTGCCATACAAAATAAATTGTAGAGAGAAGTTGCGACAAATTTGAAATATACCTCGAGAATGGTTGAAACAAAAATCTAGCTTGCAAAAAAAACACCTCTGGCAATGTCAAAGTGTTCCCCAAGCCATACTTGTCAACGGGGCGGGCCACCCGTGGGCCTCAATGGGCCGGGCCGGGCCGGGCCGGGCCGAGGTTTTCACTTTTGTCAACGGGCCCCAACGGGTTTTACTTTTATTGACTAACCAATGTTATGTTTCGTGCGCACTGTACAGCTTGCAGTGTGCCAAACGACATGACTACTACGTTCACTGCCGATTCACTGCAGAAACAAATTCGACGTGACACGAAGCACGAAATCTTTGCATTTGTGGAAGAAGACTCTGTGGGCACCACAAAGCACTTCAAATCCGAAGTCTGGAAGACATTTAAACTTGTGAAAGTTGTCGCCTCTGGATTCATTATTCCGAATTTGAATCCAGCACCATTGCGGTCTAACGGCATCCGAAAGACGGGCAGAAATATTCGCCTACAAACGTTGAGGCAATTGAAATGGTTTCCATGGCTTTTAAAAAAAGTCTTTATAAATAAGTAAAACAATTAATAAAAATTGTTTTGAAACAAATTTGTTTTTTACTAAAAAAGCAGCAACGGGCCCCAACGGGCCGATATTTAATAAATTCCCTGTTTATCGGGCCGCCAACGGGCTCGACTTGAATTATATCGGGCCGGGCCGGGCCGGGCCGGGCCGGGCCG